GCAAGAAAGCAAGAGAGAAAGAAAGAAAGAAAAAAAAAGTAAAAAAACATTGTATTGATCACCGTTGGTTGATTTGAGTTAAATTGACAAACATACATGCATACATAAATACATACTTAAACACACAAACATTTACATAAAGCATAACAAATGCACAATACTTTTACTTTTACACAGATGCCGACAATTTTACCAACATGACAACTGTGGTCGCCACTGTGCTGTGTCCGGGTTCTCTATTTGTAAATAATATGGTTATCGTGTCTTGCTCAAGAATACTCCACTCTGGCCATTGTGTGCATTGTGAACAGGCAGCTGTTCTCTAACTTCGCCAACTTTTTACGTGAACAAAAAAAACAAAACAACCAAAAATATAGTAATTTGACTTTTTGAACTCATGGGGAAAACAATGGCAACTGTTAAGTCAGCACAGTTATTCGCTAACTTCACCATTCTTTTACGTAAAAAAACTAAAAGGAAAACCCCACCCAAAAACATAGCAATTAGACTTTTTAAACTCAAGGGGAGAACAATGGCAATTGTCAAGTCACATGGACACAATCGATGTTTGTGCAATCTTTGATAAGAGATTGGTGTATAAAAACCCACCTACAAGCATGTTTCGTTGTCTGACATTCTCTCGGTGCACAGACTTTATCACACAAGAACACGAACCAACGAGTAAGGAAGAAACAAGACGTTTCACAATATTATTGTCAAACACTAAACTGGTAGACACAAGACAGAGACGATGATGTCACGTCATGGAGTCCTCTCTCTGCTCCTGCTGGCTGTGGTCCTTGTTGTCAGCGTGGAGTCCGGCAAGAACTGGGTCCTGATAGTGGCAGGGGCCAAGGATTACGCAAACTACTTCTCTCAGGTAATCATTATCATAAAGTGTCAGATCTGAAACAGACATTGGTAATCATGGTTCTCCATTAATTTCTCCCCTCGGATGCTCTCAAAATCCCCACATTGTCTTGATGTTTTCCCGTCACCCATCTCTGACAATTTTCCAAAGAGGTTTCTCTGGGTCTGCCCCTGTCTCGTTTGCCTTCCACTTTCCCCGTGAGAGCGGAGTATTCAAAACCTTTATGTTGAGTCAAATATCCAAGAAAACGCATTTGTCGCTTCCTGGTTGTTTCCATTAAGCGAGGGAGCCGGGGGAGGGGGGCGAAAACCTAATCTTCTTACATCGCTTCCTTGTTTGATTTTTTTCTGTCCATGAAATTCTTAAAAGCCCTTTAACTTTAAGAAACCACATGCCTGCTGCTTCGGTTTTATTTTCAATATCTTTGGTAATTGTCCAGCACTCACGGCCGTATAGAAGGAATGACCACACTAGCCTCTTAGAACCTTTATTTTAGTAGTCATGAGATGTTTCTATTTTTCTGGGTGGGACCCATTTTATTGAAGCTGTCTTTAGCCATTGCGATTCTTCGTTATATTATATCCGTGGAGGGATTGGCATTCAATGTAATGATACAATTCGTTTATTCAAATTGCTGAACTTGTTAGTTCTTTTCATCTTTGCTACTAAAATACAAATGAGGTTGACTGCTTTTTGCTTGGAATATTACGATGCATTTATAAAGCTCTTCAAATAGCATTTTTTTCATGAAGCATGTTCTTAATGTTTTTATACGTCTCGATCAGTCTCAAGTTAGTTAAGTTCTAGAGAGTACATACACATACATACATACATACATACATACATACATACATACATACATACATACATACATACGTACAGGGGCGGTTTGTTAACTGGACAAGACGGCGGTGCCGGTCAAATTTTTGTCAGCTGGACTCTTTACAAGAGATTTATTGCTGATGATGATTTCCATTCAGTTTTAAGTAAATCCAAACAAACATGTATCAACATTCAAAAGCGCCTTGCCGACTTGAAGGTGCTCAAATAGACAAGTGGGATTCACTGCTGTTTTGTCGAGACAGAGCCTCATTCCTTCACGTTTTTTATCGCACCGGCTCGTATACGTGTACTATCGTCTCCCGTCAAGCCGTCACGTCGAGGAACTTCGTACTTCGTACAAGGCCAAACCGAACTTGGCGATGACGTCAGTCCTGTAGACAAATCCACCAACTGCCCTTAGAGCGAATAGGGCATCCCTTATTTGTCAAATTGACCTATTTGTAGCTTACAAAATTAAGAATGAGACTGTATTAAGCAGCACAGACACATGTATTATTTTATCAGCAAAACATGAATTTATGGTTCCGCTTTTCTCTAACTACTATCAGAACGTTTTATTGTCAGCATGGCACTAATCTTTTTTGTTTATTGGCTTTTTAACCACCTATAGTTCCTGTTTGGCATTCACTCATCGTTTCCTCCCCACTAATAACTTACCTGGCCCATAGGAGTCTGGCCGGCGAAAGGGGTAATCGTCTAGTGAAGATATATAAGGAGAATTTTAACGAGGAGCAATAGGCACTCGGCTGTCAGAGTCTGTGCCGAAAACAATAGGCCTACCCCCTCCCTTGCCTCCTCCTTTTCCACCGTCACCCCAGCTAAACACCAAGTTCTATAATTAGCATTTGACACACTTCCCCCACTTTGTTACAACACAGTGTTCTGTTTTGAGAACTGAGAAGTGCGATAAAGAACATTTGATGATATAATTATTGGAAACTGTTGTGTGCTAACTTTGTCCAGCTTTGTATAGTATCCTTTGCGTTGATCTACTTGGGACAGCGTCACTGGTATGGTATCAATTGACTTTTTGTAATCATACAGGACAGTTTTTATTACATATTTAACGGGTCCAGTGCAGGTCAATATTTTGTGTGGGGGTGTACAAAGCGCGAGTAAAATACTGGAGGCCAGGACCAGCAGTGTAATGCCTCTCACTTTTAGTTTCTTTCTAGCCTAGTAGTGTTTCTTTTTCTGTGCCGATCAAGTCAGTTTCTATTAATCTCAGTAATTTCCATCATACGTTATTCATAATATTGTTTCTCGACACAACCGCATATTTTAGCTCTTTCATATTATATTACACTACTTAAACCTTTCATGGTCATGGCTGTCACACTTTAATCTCTCTAAAAACTGCTGAGAAGAGCGTGCACCATAGAGCGCGCCATTATGCACAAATAGAAGGAAAATCGTTAGTCTAGCAATAATCGAGTACGTAAAGCACTTTCCCACATTAATCAGGCTCAAATTGTAACTTGCCATCATAGAATTACAAAGTTCTATCTTTTCAGTCCCTATTTTGGGAGTTTGACTGTTAAAATTTTGAGTTTCATAACATGTCAAGCTTTTTCGAATGTAATTCTTTGAATATCTTGATAACGACTCAGAAAAAATCTTAGGATTTTGATAGAACAGATAGAACATTATATTTCTGACCTCATAGTATTAGCACTTCTAAAAAGCCAACATTGTCATTTTGAATATCTTAATTCTTAGGTGTAAAATTGAGGGCTCTGTTGTGAACTGGAAATGTGTCAAAGTGGGCACTTGTCTTGGACATCAAAATTCAAGTTTTTTGCTTTTTTTCTCCAAAAGCTTTCTCTGGGTAAATGATTCTATGTGTATTCTTAACAACAAGTACTCCGTTTCCCTGCTGCTATGTTTAGTCCTGTAGGTGTATTCCCCCAGGCCGACTCTTGCCACGCTTACCAAACCATGCGCAACAACAGCATCCCCCCAGAGAACATCGTCCACATGTCTTACGATGACGTAGCTCACGACCCCGAGAATCCCATCCAAGGAAACCTTGTCAACACTCCTGGAGGGCCGAACCTTTATCCTGGATGTGAAATGGACTATAGAAAGGAAGAAGTGACACCAGAAGTCTTCCTCAAAGTTCTCACTGGCGACAAGGAGGGCGTGAAGAAACTGATTGGTCGAGATGGTAAAGTAATTGACAGCGGTCCTGATGACAATGTGTTCGTCACAATGGCTGATCACGGAGGTCCAGGGGTCTTCTACTTCCCGGGTTTTGTTGAGCTGCACAACACTGACCTAAACAACGCCCTCAAAAAGATGTACAGGGAGAAAAGGTACAGGGAGATGGTGCTTTACGTGGATTCTTGCTACTCGGGGAGCATGTTCGAGGGTATACTCCCGAAAAACATCAATATCTACTCTACCACCGCCGCCAATGCCCACGAGGTGGGATATTTGTGCTGCTATGATGACTACCGTAAAGCCTACGTAGGCACTGTCTACGGCACCACATGGATGTACGACACAGACAAGGCAAATGTTCACAAGGAAACACTCTACCAGCAGTACGAAGTGGTGAAAAAAAATTGCAACATCTCTGCTCACGGGAGTCACGCCATGCAGTACGGAGACCTGAGCATGAACAAAGAAGTCCTCGCTCAGTTCCAGGCAAAAGCGGAAGGATACAAACCCTGTGTCTATCTCAATACAAAGGAAGCAGATAGTATTGTGAAATCAAAGTTCACCTTCGCCGGAATTGACCTCAATAACCCCGCCATTGACATGGTTCAGATCGCCACCACGGCCCGTCGCCTCATCGAGTCACGTGATCTCAGTAGTGAGAAGCAGGAACAGCTCAAGGCCGAATTACGTCATATGATGCTGGTCAAGGAAAAAGCTGAGTCGTTGACCAAAGACCTGGTCAAGGCTGCCATTTCCAGCCCTAGCGGTGTGACGGAGAACGACATACTGACCGGGAAAGAGCGAGTCGAAGACTCTGAGTGCTACAAGGCCGCTCTGAGCCTCTTCTCTGACCGATGTCCAGGCATCAACATGGGGAGGTACCCATTCGCCAGGAGAAATCTCCAGGCCTTTATCAACCTCTGCAACCACCAGCCCCAAACTG